TTTTTGGCCTTTTACCAAAAGGACTATGTTGCCGGGCCCCTAGCGGGAAGGCACCCAGGAAACGGGAGACGAACGAGACCCGTAGTAACGTTGTTAACAAACGACACCCCGCCCAGCCTACCTTATATTTAGCCCGCGTCTACGTCCTGAGATGCGCCTTCCTCAAAAGCAGAGCGCGACAAGCACATGCAACAACAGATGGCCAAGCATCAGACGGATACTCAAAGCTCGCCAAAGCTTTCGTCGGAAAGATTGTCAGCCACAAAGTACATTAACTCACACATTTTACATATTACTTATTAAAATGTGCCTAATCGCGACCATCTTATATAGGGCTTGCCTGGTGGTGGAATAGGGTATGGTGGAATAGAAGGGTTTGGGGTGTAGAGGAACCGTTCGCCGCAGGTCGGGGCCGAAATTTTGCGATAGCCTGGTTTCTTCGATGTGTTTATATGAGGGTTAAGGTTTAGGGTTTAGGGATTGTCTGCTGTAATTCCTTGAACCCAAGCCTATGCCCAGTCACCACGAAAAGGGGACAGTCTTTAAAGTTTTGGAACCTTTGTTATACTTCGATGCTCTAGGGCTCAGGATGTACGGGTTTTGAGGATGGGCAAATCGGTATAAGTACTGATGGGTTTCCCCTATATATAGTGGTTTAGATACAGGCTTCCGAAAAACATTGGGCTTCGGCTTCGGGCTCAGAGAGTGTAATGGTTTGGGTTTGTGGGATTATGGGCCTTGCGCTCTGAGATTGTCTCTTGCACCATAAAATAGAAACCGCCGTGGCGAGCTGAATGCCCGCTAAGTTTGGAGGCCAAACCCCAATAAATCGGAAATGCTCAGTCAGTCAAACCCACTCAGAAACAACTGAAAGTGCGAGCATCTAGGCCAAAAACCTTGAACTTTAAACCCTAAACCCTAAGCCTAAACCCTTGCTAAGTGGGAGGGAAAAAGCCTAAACCCTATCAACCCTAAACCCTAAACCGTGGCTAAACCTTACACCCTAGACTCACTATATCCCATTATCCTAAAATTCGTTCGAAGAAAGGGCGGAGGAGGTGTTTTTCCCCGTCAGCCGGATGCCACGATCCAACAGTTCATCTGCAGCAGCCACCTCTGAATCACCCTGCTTGACAGGGTTGATGGGTGAACCGATTTTTTACAGCTGCTCATCATTTTACCAATAAAGTCTTCCTCCATATAACAGCTGGAGTGTCGCGGGTTGACGCGACTTCGTGAAGAAACCATTCTTAAGATCACTTCGCAATGGAACTGATGGTACTTCGGCCGCAGTTTGTACCTTACATTGTCAGGGCACAGCAGGGGTAAATATATGGTTGTACTGGTCAGGAAAAAGGTATTGCTAGATATGATCGAATCTAGGGCCGAGGGTACCGCGGTTCGGCTTTCTCGAGGTACAAGGCAGCAAGAACCAGGTAGGTATGGCAGTAAAGGCGTCCAAGCCTTCAGCAAACGGAACCATCAGTTTTAACGGGGGGAGAGAGGGAGAGAGAGAGAGACTACTCACTCATATAATGCAGGATAGCTTGGACGAGCCATTATTATAGGGCTTAGGGTTCGGGGCGTAGGGTGCTTTTAAACGGAAACTTGCAGAACAACAAGGAGCAACAAAAGTACTATTATATCCCTGCCTCATAAACCCTAGACCCTAAACCCTATAAGCCCTAAACCTTAAAACCTAAACCATATAGGTTTGAGTCCAGGGTCTCGGCCACCTCGGTCGCTTCACTGTCTGTAAGCCACAAGGCGCACTCGTCCAATCGACAATTGAATTGGTTGATGGCCCACGCATTGACAGCCGCAACACGAAGCTCGGGCACCGATTCGGCCAAATCCTCATACCCAGCAAAATGGACGCCTTTGAACACTCGCCCCCAATATCAAATTGTGCCAAGTGTCACACAATCGCTGTGCCAGGTATGACATCCTGAGCAGCCGGGTCGGGTTTTATTGGGGGAGGGTACTTCGATAGCTAGTGCCGATATATGGAGTTCCGTATGACACCAAGGTTCAAAACCCGGTTTGCGTAGGCTTTCCCATGGCCCAGTGGGTAGTCCAGGGACACAGCATCTATAGACAATTTTGTGAGGCCTCAGATGCACGATACGTGTGCCGAACCCCCCAAATTAGTTGAAGGTTAACACACGAGCTTTGGAAAGAAACCGAATCGTGAAGTGTAATATAAGAAGCTCATCTCATCAATGACACTTTGTCGAATGCCGTGCTCCTTGCACCAGAGCTTAAAGTCCGCATGGATGTATTCGAGCCGTTGATCCCACGTGACAAAGCTTTGGACTTTTGTCCAGTATCTCGCAAACTCCATCAAATGTGACGCGACTGCGTCACGCGCTGTACCCGTCCAAAGACTGTGCAAAAGATCAGCGTACTCAGTGCTAGGATGCCACCCATGTAGCTGCCACAGCCTGCCCGTGAAACAAGACGACAGAAGCTTCGACACCTCGACAGACAAACCTGGAATACATATATTGGAGCCGGGACACGGTATTCGCGAGCCAACACCTCGGATATGGGATTGGAAAAAAATTGTAATTAGTTTCCATGCACCAACGTAGTCACATCGTGCCAAAGCGCTCGTAGAAGCGGCTTCATCTAAATCCTCCTGGTTATTGAATCTTTCTGAGATATCTGCCCAGGGCTTCCGATGAGTGTCACACAGACAGCGTGGGCATATATTTCCAGTCTGGTTCGAATAGTGTCGCTGTTGCTGCAGCCACTCTCGCTTGTGCTTCCAGTCTCCTTTAGAAATGCAAAGGTGCAAAGTCCAGCCGTGTAGCGCAGGGTCGTCTTTGTTTCCACATCGGTTCATCGAATCGACAAAGTTTTTCTGCAAGCATTCGAGCGTGCAGTTGCGACCATTCTCGTATGCAAACCGGTCAGCCTTGATAACCTGACAACAGGAAATACAATCACCGTTCATAAACATAAACCGCAAACCCTCGACACTGCAGCCCAGGGACACAGAACGGATATTTTTCGTACATGCTATCACCTCGATGAACTGCCAGTGGTGAAATTGATATGACCAATACCGATTTCGAACGTTTTCCTGTTCCCTCGTCCCCGTGCAAGGACACTCCAATTGCCTTGGAGCGGGAGTGTTCGCTCCAATTCTGAACTGGGTGCTGCCTAAGTTGATGTTTCCACGACAAAAGTTTCTCTAAACACGGACCACAAAACAGTGTGAATCATGCACTAGGCACGCACCCCAAGGTTCACTCGTAGATCTCCGCCAGAAGTCCAGCCAATTCGTGTCCCCGGCCCTGAGCACCAAGGAACAAAACCCCACACCCACAGAGACGCACACACACACACCCACACCCAC